TTACCGTTGACTAAGAACAAACAAGAAAGATAACAAAGCCTCTAGTAACGATGGCATCAAACAGCCGAGATAACCTGATTTTCACACTTAACATCGACCTCACGTTTTCCAGCATTTTTTTTCTCTCTCCCACTGCCTCTACTGTTTCTTTGTTTGTTTAAATTTTATTTATTTACTTTTTTTAAATGGCCTATATGCTATGTAAACATATTCGTACAAACGGATTGCGCAAAATAAATTAAATTAGGAAACGTCTCACAAACTAAAAAGTTAAATTAAAATTTAATAAAAATGAAAATTTACTACGTGGATCACTTAGAAAAAAAAACGCTCATTTGCGGTGTCCTATTGCTTCAAAAATTTATTACTCTCAACAGGACATACTTCTGATCAATCTCGTTGGTTCTTCTTTGTTGTCAGTTTAAAATTTCTCTAAATATGGTGGCCTACATGTAGTTGCTTATAAAAGTAAATCTCATGAATGCCACGGTTCATTATTGATTATAGATTTTTAAAACATCCACTTCTCTCTGAAAAGCTGTTAGACATTTAGAAAAAACATCACATATTCTACAAGACTATCTATTTACAGCATACGAACAGGTTTTTCTCATTAGACTTCTAATTTTTTCAAGATTAATCATCATGAACGCCACAGCCGTGGACTGTCACCAGTAGAAGCTGTGGAATATGATTATATTCTTCAATTGAAAAAAAGAGGAAATTATGTACTAAACACCTAAACTGAATGGTTAAAAGATGTGATTTTTAAAACATAAAAAATGTATTTTGTTTACTTTTCATGAGTGCCACGGTATTTTTTAAATCAAACATTGTACTCTGTTATTATTTGTCTAGTTTTCAAGTTTTTTGTTCGTAAATATAGGTTTTTGAGAGAACCTATGAATCCATGGTACAGACCATTTTTTATCAAATAATTAACACCCGACTGAAACTTCGTAAAAAGCTTCATCTCATCGTAAACTACAAATGTTTTATTTACTAAAATTCTCGGAATTGAGGCGTTTTCAATCTGCAGGTTGGCAAATTTCGTCTATTTAATTAGGTACTAATAACTCGCAAATACCCACTGGCTTTCCCCTTTAATCGTAAGTTAACTTTAACACAAAGTCGATAAAAAAGGTGGCCTTCAAAAATAATTCAATTTTTGATAATTCAATAATTTGATAAAAAGGTGTCTGTACCACGGACTATATGTTATTAATTAAAACATTTCATATCACTAAAACATCATGAACGTCACGCTGTCAGTAATGTTAAGCATATAAATATTTCCATCGTACAGATTGAACATCCTTACTCAAGAAAAATCCTTATAGTTGAGTCTAGGATGGTTCTGGATGACATTGCAGTAGTCAGAAATTAAATTTTTTACATTAGATTTTATGGTAACAAACTACCGTTATATAATCAATTTGTACATTTATTTTAAGAATGAGCGACATACTTATTAAGCAGATGAATAATTCGGCATAATATATTAGTGAATGATTAAAGTATTAGATGTAAGTCTTCTTAAACCTGATAATATTTTAATATAAACTTTTCAATACATGCTAATAGTTAATGTATTATTAACTATTAACATATAGTTTGAGTAGGTTTGAATAGAATATTTTAGTAGGTCGATATATATAATGGTGCTTCATAATGCAAAACTGTTTTCAACAGTTGCAGATGATGTTGAATACAAACTTACCCAGAGACTGCTGAAGGGGTACAACTCTGCAGTGAGGCCCAGCCTGAATTACTCCGAGCCATTAAAAGTTATATTTGGAGTCTCCATACATCACATTATAGATGTTGTAAGTATCAAAATGTTTACATTATTATAATCAATTCAAGTAAAAAATAAAACATAATTGATATTAATATTAATCACTACCAAACATAATTATTTAAAAACATTATTATTTGTATACACCTACATTTGATTTTTTTTTTTTAAAGCTGAAACTCTATGACAGGTCTATAGATGAGGAAATGTTTTAGATAGATGGATAGATAGAGAAATAACTTTATTCTAGGACGAAGTCCCTTGAGAATAACAAAATGTTACAGAACGAAAGAATAATTCTGACAAAGAGAACTACATTAAATAAATTAAACATCTTAAATAAAGTTAAAAAATATACAAAAAAAAATTATGAAGCTTTATACAACATGTTTAGAACTATATACAATACAAATAAGAAAATAACCAATTGTTTAACTAAAAAATAAAAAATAAATAATAAAACAGATAGGAACAAAAGCAATAAATAAAATATTAATTCCTCTAGTAAATACAAAGAAATAAACATTTATATATTATTTCTCCTGTTCATTCTTCCTAAAATTGGTGTCTTGAGGTTTTATTTGTTATATAAATTAGGCCATTATTCACAAACATTTTATTTATTAGCTATTTTATTACGACGTTTCAACCATCACTAGGGCCATTTTCAAGTCTTATTGAGTCCTCCATTAGATATTCATTATTAATGTCGTATTAATTTGTTTAGTGAAAAATCAATACGACATTAATAATGATTATCTAATGGAGACCTCAATAGGACTTGAAAATGGCCCTAGTGATGGTCGAAACGTCGTAATAAAATAGCTAATAAATAACATGTTGTTGAATAATGGCCTAATTTATATAACAAATAAAAATGTGTATATTATATTTTGGTAAGAATTAAAACATTCATAACAAAAATAGTAAGAATATAAATAAATTAAACAACTTTACGAGCACAGTAATCATGTAGAACAGAAATGACACGGCATAATAAATATAAGTACAAGTTCATAAGTGCACGTAAGAATATACACAATATCATGAGAGAGAAATACTTTATTTTCATATAAAATATAAAGAATTGCTGCCCAATTATATTGGATTGCTATATACACAGCATAATCGTTAATCCGTAGGATAGTAAATGAACTTATATATAAATATGCAGAAGTGGTTAGTTTATATGAGTATAATAAATATATACATAATTTTTTTTTCCTTTAATTGTTCATGCTTTTTTCTCCCTTTTTTTTCAACATTTAATTTCCCCTTCTCTCACTTCTGTCTCTTTATATCTTTATAACAATATTAAGATGCTTAAAATTATAATTGAACAACAACAAAAAAACAAAAGTGAATACATCTAGAATTAAATAAAATTTTATATGAAACAAATATAATAGATATTTTTCATTAAATAAATAAATAAATACATTAAAAAAAATTATTGTCAGAGACAGCATTAAAGTTGGCAGTGAAAGTAAATTTATTTATATTTACCATGGGTATTTTTATTTATTTAACTACATATATACAAACTTTGGTTTTAATTATTTTACAATGTACAATATAATTTAGTAATAAGTTATATAATAAGTAATAAGTTATATATATAATATAATATAAGTTATAAGTTATTATATATAATATAATAAGTTTACAATATAATTAAATATTAACTAATAATTATGGCATTTATGAATGCCACACGAAAACCGAGATCGCCGCACATCGAATCCAGAGACACCAAAAGTTATTATTTTCTTTATCATCCTCTAGTTGACTTTCACTATTGAGGTAAAGAAGACTGGGCACGGTTGTGACAGTCGTCATATTAGCTAAATTGTTGCGAAAAGGAATAGCCAGTATGATTATAGAGGAAAAAATGGATGATGTGCCTGTCTAAAGTTGTTTCTCAGCATAGCGGCATTAACGCTAGTAGAGGCCTTTATTTCTTTTAACTAACAAAAGTAAGTATTTTTATTCGATTTCATTGAATAATTATTGTTACATATGTAAGATATGGTAATGAGTTTTTTCCTTTGTTGTAATTTCTTTGTACATAGTTAATTTTGTATCATCAAGGCGATTGCTTTTTTTGGGAAGACGTGAGTTGGTTACAGTTGACAGGCCTCTATAGAGCTTTGAGTGATTTTGGCGATTAAATTTTTCTTCAATTGTAAAAATGATGTCATAGCTAAACAAAATTTTTCGATGAATACCATTGGTGTAACGTGTGCTAAGTGCCAAGGAGTGCTTTGCGTCTATCCACTCTAATTTTTTTTAAGGGAAGTGGTTAGCCTTGTTTTGACATTGTTTGAAATGCATCCATCCTAAGGTCACTTGTTATTATACAAGGCATTGATCTGACAGAGATTCCCATTTCTCGAGACATGATTTGTTGTTCTCGAATGGGATTTATTCTGATTCAAGCACTGCATTTGCCGTTCTCATAGTGCGGGGACGATCGAAGTCTGTCTCTAAAGGGGCCCGGTCGAAGTCTGTCACATACAGAAGGGTCTCGTTGTAGGCACATACGGCGCCTCGTACACAAACATACGGTTGATACCCAAACGTTTCAAAGTGTTGAAAATCTCTGACCTACATATACCAACTTTGTGTAAGGCGATCACAACTATTCAGTTTTCTTTATCACCGCACTCCATGTTAACTGAGAGAGAAAAAAATACAAACTAATTGGGATTATTATCCTGACATGTAAAGAAAATAACCTGATAGAAGTAAGGATAATCTAGATAATACCCAAGGATGTAAACAAAGTTTAACTTTTGTAACAGTAAGTATGGCAGAACTAGGTAGATGCTACAGCGCCTTATGAGTTATAAGGCTAAAGTGTTCTCAGATTTTATTTATTTTATTATTTAATAAAATAAAAGTGATTGTAGACCATTTTGTTATATTTTTGAACCTTTCACTACCAACCCCAAATTTTCTGATATTTTCTTATGAGATAACTATTATACTTGCGGATAAAATATGAGTATTCATATCTATAGTCGATTGTAAGCACTTTACTATAATAAGTCCTTTTATTCCAGCTAATTGGCATGCTAACAAAATTATGTACGATTAAATTAAAATTGTTACAAACGTCCCCACTACACCCTACCTCAAGCAATCGAAACTGACTCTGAGTCAAACAAACAGATGAATTTTAACCTGATATTTCGTATCTATCATTAAAATAAAATTTAAAATTTATTATCAGATTGTATTTTTATAAAAACTATACCCTCTTCGACGACCTTCTATATGGATATGTCTGTGAAATAAACTAAAGATTTTGAACGTTTTCCGATCACGGATTTGTAAATCAAGTAATTAGTCGCTTGCAATCGATAACACATTACTGAGAGAATTATGAAGAGAATAAACCGGGCTCGTTCGTTAACCGGCTCAGTGTAAATATCTCCGCCTCTCACGAGGCAAACAGGGGATCTTACATAAACGTGAGGCAGCCGGCAAATCAACTTTCTTGTTGATAAAGAAAACGTTAAAGTTCTTCTTTCTTGGAGTGCCTTTGACTCTTGTGCCTGCTTCCACGTCCTCAGAGCCCTTCAGGGAACAAAGTCAAGATAACTAAATGGTTTCTGGAGGGTTATTTATTGGGTTGGGGGGAGAGTGGGATGTACCTACCTTCCTTTACGAAGTTTTCAACCATTGTTTGACTTTACATGATGATACCAATTGTTTAACAATTTTCCAAAAAAAAAAATAATAATCGGTAAAATGGAAACTATACACCTGGTTTCGTTTTTTTCAATAAAAATATCAACAATAAAATTATAATATTTCTATAATTCTACAATAATGATATATTATAAAAAATATTTTTATATTTTGTATATTTTTTATATATACATAACATGAATAATTTGCACTGATTTGGATTATCAGATTAAAACTAAAATAAAAATATTACTTTTCTTAATGTTTTTAAAGTAGTGGAAAACTCTTAAGGGGTGGGAAGTAAAATAATTTCTAAAAAAAGGGGTATACTTACTACATACCCGAAAATCAATATTACTCCATCTTTTGCAGTCCAAAATAATTTCTCAAATGAACTAATTTTCATATATATCTAAAGCAGGTAAAATATGCATTCATATTTCGTAGTAAAATATTCATATATCACCTTTCTGTACCAGATCATTAGAATTCATCGAACCTCCTATATTTTTCACAGCTTACAATTTAAATACTCCATCCAATCCCGTCCCACTAGATCTCGTACCTCCGATCTCTATCCTACTCCTCACCGAACTGCTGCGTTTGACAAATCCTTTGCAATTCAAGCCACCTCCCTAGGGAATTCCATCCCAGCTGATATTCGACATGCACAATCAGTTTCCTCTTTAAACACCTATTCCTATCTCAATCCGTCTGATTACAAAATATATCTGAGAGAACTATTTTTGTTTATTCATGCTATATTAGTTTCCTTTGTTTGTCTCATATATATGTACGCTTTTCTTGTATTTTTCTCTCTCTCTTCTGTATTTTTACTTTTAATTAACTATTATTGTAAATATTTAATTTACGACCATACAGACATGCATTCTGCACTTATAATTTGGTCTAAAGGGACAACAGTCCCAGAATAATAAAATATATTTTCATTTCATTTTATATTCTAAATTGTTTCTTTTTGTGAATAGTTTGTCAAATTTGTTTGTGTAGAATAATTTCCTTGACTTATTTCGTGAATAGGCTTCCTAAAATCAATATAAAGTGTTGAAATGAAGGTTATAACTTAAGTTTAGTTTAGTCTATTTTTTTCAATGTGGATCAGATTTATAGTGAAATATTCTTTCTATTGTTCGCCCATTTTTATTTCTCTTTTCCAAGATTTGCTTTAATAAAAAGATGGATTTTATAAATCCTTGCTATTCAGTATGTCTTGAATAATTCACTATAGTCGATTCAGACCTGCTTTATACCATTTCAATATTTCATCGGCTATTTGGACTTCTTTATCCCGTCATGCTGAAGGAGAACGCTATTTTACAAACTTATAATCTTCTTTAAACTTATTCATTGCGATAAGAACTTTAATCTTTAATTCCAGTCATTACCGAAATCTATTAACGCCATCATCTTTCAAAATATATTATTCGTTTGGCGAACGAACGAACGAATAACGAAAATATATTTTTCGTTTGGTTTATTTCTGCGGCCAAATTGGCCTTTTTTCAGTTTATTAATAATTCTAGTACATTTCATTTCGTTCCTGATAATATTTCCGATAAGTTTTTAACATTAAGTAATAGTGATATAAATAATGAAACATACGTAGAATATTACTCTATTTTAATCACCACCGAAAAGAAAAGAATGGTGGTATGCTTATTTTTTATTTATTTTTTTTTTTTTTTTTTGCGGTCCTCCCCTTCCTCGCCGTTAAGACTATACGAGGTTTTCCCGGGCCAGAGAGTGTGGGTGAGGATTTAAAAGACGTCTTGGCACTCATGACTATTTTTATATCATTTTTCATATATCAGGTTTCCGGGAAACGGTGGAGCTGTGCACAACGCGTTAGCCCATTCGGCCACCCCGCCCACAACAGGAATTAATATGTCTTACATACTTACACAGTTCGGTTCTATCGAGATATTCTATTAACATATGAAAACACCGTTTATTTGACTCTATGTTTTTCTCTCTACTTTTTTACTGCAATCTTATCGCCTCGTGTTGGTTGATTGGTTGTTGTATTTTAAAGACGTAAAATATGTTTGTCATAAACGCCGTTAATCAAAATTATATACAATTATATCTTCTAGTTGTGAATAACAGGAATTGGATACAATTAAAAAGATTTAAAATGCATATTAAGATTAGAGTTGTTTACGGTTATTAAAGTTTAGTTCCTTAAAGTTAGCTCGTTAGGTAAAAGGAGGGAAAAAAGGGGGTGGGGAGTGCTAAGTGAAATTTTTTATGATTCCTTCTTCAGACTTTTTCAAAATCGTCGACAAATAGCATAACTTTAACTCCACGTGGCAGATTTAATCCAAGGTCGCTGATGATAGCCCGTGTTTTGTAAATACTTATTTCACGACTTAAATAATAATTATAAAAAATTAATAAATTAAATTTACTTATTTACTTTTTATTAAAAAAATAAGAAGATTACACAAACCTTAGACGAGGTAATTATTGAATTGATGTTTTAAATTAATTCTAAACGGGAACAAAGGATTGTTTGATGCAGTTTCTTTTGTTAACTTATGGTACTTACAGCTTCAATACAGCAATTCCCACAAAGCATCATGACCGTACACAACATCATTTAAATAAATTACAACACTGGTACAAACCATGAAAATTCGACTAAAGCACGATAAATCAAACACATTACATTTACACTTCGAAGAAATACCTGCCCTCCAATTTATATCGAAAACAACCAAATACCTCAGACGGACATGGTACACTACTTTGGTCTTACCTTAGACAGAAGGATGACATGGGGCCCACAAGTCAAAATGAAACGGAAGATTCTCAACAGACGACTCCCACTACTTCATTCACTTTTTCAAATCTTCAAAACTAGAAAGAACTGAGACAGAAACTAAATACATACCTATGCTTAGCTAAACCTATATGGACGTACTCCTCACAAATATATGATATAGCTAAAAATACCCACTTATCCTGCGGTTTCACTTAATTGCCGACGATTCGACCTGGTCAGGTAATTCTCCTACCGCAGGCATTTCAAAAATAATTTGTAAATCAATGACATTCATTCAAACACAATACTTTCATCCCATTTAAGTATTTACTGTACATACTAAACTATTATTTATTGTAGATACTATTGACTTCAGCGACAATGAAATGATTTATTAAAAAAGAAAACACATATAATTTATTTACAGTTTGTTCTTATGTGGGTCATCGATTAAACTATTCTTTATCTTTGATATAAGAAAGGAGGACAGCAATGAAATTATTTTTAGGTTATTAAAGCTCATTATTACATAGTTATAGCCCTCCATGAATTTGTGTTTAACTAAAAACTTTCAAACTCTTTATGGGATGAGTTTGAAAGTTTGATTACAGACGAAGAAGTGTTAGTTTGGGGAATAAACTTGATAATGTTCTCAACTACTTTTGTTCCCGACTTAGCCATTTGAACAGGATATCCAACTACTACTACCTTCACCGAATAAAAACTTGTTTTTAATTTATTTTAATAAAACGAGTTAGCCACTTATTCATGGAGGCTAGAGAAATATTTATTGAATATATTTCTAATAATTTACTTTGTGCGCAGGATGAAAAGAATCAAATCCTGACCACCAACTGCTGGTTAACTCAGATTTGGACAGACCACCACCTCAAGTGGAATATTTCAGAGTTTGAGGGGATAGAAGTGATACGCCTTCCTTACCTGACTGTATGGAAACCTGACATCATTCTTTACAACAAGTAAGTAAAGCATCACTAATTCTTCTGTAGAATAATTTTATATTGTGTAATACCGTTTTAGTGAAATTTTAGATCATTTTCGGAATAAATCAGTACTCTCCGAACTCATGCGGCAAACGTGAAGCAAAGCTCTTTAAAGCAGAACCCAGTTTTCCGGCCACTTTGGCAACTCCATTCTTCAAGCTGGCTGCTAGTTCTTCGTATGAAATGCTGTCGAGTGATGAAAAAAATAAGTCCTGTAAGTTAGGCTCATAAGCTGTCCGATTAAAGAGGTCATCCGAGGAAATGGAAGAGCAGTTGGTAAACCTTGACAAGTCCGATTTGTATTTCGAACCGCTCATATCGTTGAAATACCTTTCGGATGAAATAGATTTAGCTGATCCGAACTTTTTTTGGGCTTCATCGTTACTGCATGGACTGAATTCCGGTTTTATAGGTTCCGCCTCTTTATATTCCTGATGATAAACGCCAATGTGTTGTTTTAATGTGTTCTCATCATCCGCCTTTGCAGGACCTGCAAAAGAAAAATAAATATAATGCTCAAGATTAATTCACCCAAACATTGAATGATGTTGCCATTTGATGATATGTAGATAAGAAATTTCATCAACAATAACCAGTAATTTTTTATACAGCTGACCTACTTTCCACGAAATATCGACATGCAATGCTAGTTCGTGAATGTTTTTCGAGATATTTTAACGCTTTCATAACCTGCGTCGAAGTAAAAAAAACGCCAGAATTAATCAACTTTCCCATAAAATTGGGTGTATCAAAAAAAAATGTAAAAATAGACGAATATTGAATTTTCGGCTGTGAGAAAAACTGAGAAGAAATCCCTAACGTTTCGGTTACATCCAGTATTCGGTCACAGACAGATATAACGTCGAAAGTAGAATAATCATTTATAGCAGTTGGAAAGATTTCCATTGATCGTACAATGTAGGTTACTAAGTAAATGATATTTATTCACCTATGGTACATGGGCGGAGTGAAGCAGTGAAGCAGGGAGTATTTCGCTTCTTTTCCACCTCATCTCATTTCTCCGGCTAAAATACAAATGTTGCCTCCCCCCCAATAAGAGGATAATTTTGTTAAATCGATCTTTCGGTTATCCCCTACCTGAGGCCATACCATTCATGGCCTACAGGGGGAGAGAGATTGTACAACTAAACCTATTCTGATTCATCTAATTATTTGTTGTTGTTTTTCCTCTTATTATTCACCTTTTCGGCTATACAGATTTTTCTTGGTTCAGGGGAGAGGGCGAAGGATTAATTGCAGAGATAATACAGATACTAATAATACTAGCCGCGATGAAAACGCTTATTATCAATTTGTAAAGAGTACGGCAATAATAGATAAGTTCTCAAATTTATTTTAAGTTGGTTCCCAATCGTATGAGTAATTTTTGAAATATCGGCAAGTTTAAGTAAATAGGTTCCGGTAGACGTAGGCAAGAGAAGTATAGTTATCTTGATAAAATTGATATAGGACCATTTTGTACCAACCCACACAACACCTTGAAATTTTATAGAAATAGGAATATCTGTTCTAGTAGACTAGGTGCTATCGATCGTTTCATAAACTGAAAGACTTAAAGCTAATAACCATTTTAAATTCTAGAAAAAACCTCTTCCATTCTAGTGATTTTCTTCCGTGTCGGTCCATCTATAATCGAAACCATGTGATGGCCAAAGTACCTATGAACTAGGAGCTACCGATAATATCATTTAATGGAAGGAATTATAGCTAATCACCATTTTAAATTGTAGATAAAGCTCATTTGAACACAACTTCTGTCAGTCGGTTGAAAACCAACTTGGTCTCTTAATCAAAACTTAATTAAAAATGTGATTCCTCGTAAACCAATGACTTCCTGTCCTTCAGTATCCTTTAACAACACCTCACTTATTCCTGTTGAACAAATCCGTTACCTAGGACTCCATCTGGACAAACGTCTAACTTGGAATCCTCATACCAGACTGAAACGACAAGAAACAGCTCGACGTTTCCGACTACTTCAACACTTCAACACTAGACAAACGCTCTAACCTTCCAATCAACTATAAAAGACTCATTTACATGACTATAATAAGGCCTATTTTGACTTACGGAGTTGAGAAATGGGGCTCCACTAAACCATTGAACTCCTCTCGTATCCAATCCTTACAATCCAAAACCCTTCGTAAAATCCACAATGCTCCTTACTTTGTTACAAATAAAATTATCCATAATGATCTTAATGTTCCTTATGTATCAGATTTGTCCCAATCCAGATATCTGTGCTCCCATAATAAACTTCATAACCATCCCAACCCTCTTATCTCTAACCTTGCTTCCTATTCGATTCCTAATAACCCTCCGAGGCGTCTGAAAAGAAGATGGCCACGTGATCTTCTAATGTAGACATATTATTAGAGTGCTATCAATGGGTATTTTTTGTATACAGTTGTAAATATCATATAAATAAATAAAAAATAAATAAAAAGATGTGAAATTTTACGGTTCATTAAACGGAAGGACAGCAAATTGTAAATAATATGTTCCTAAAAGAGAACTCATCTTGACTGATTACGTACTCGGTTGCGTTTTGAAAACTGACGTGTCACAATTACATAAAGGTCATATAAATGATTACTTTTTGATGATTACTTCTTATCTTTCTAAGTCATTTTAAACTGGCATTAAAAAGAAACCAAGAGATTTACAAAATGTTTAATATGTGTGTCCAGTTGATAGCTATAATTTTGTTTTAATTATAGGACAATAAACATGAATAGTGAAAAAATAATCTCATTAAACTACAGCTGATCTTCTTGCAATCGAGTAATTAATCACAAGTTTAAAATATTCATTGTATAATTAAATATTCCAGCAATGAAGGAGATCCTGGAGAAGAGACAGTTGGGATGGTACGGGCGTGTGTACAGAATGAGCTCTGATTGTGACCCACTGAGTTTGTTGAGGTTAGACCAGTAGGCACTAAACCAAGAGGAAGACCTAGGATTAGCTGCAACAGCTATATTTCCAAATTGGGTCAAGCTAGAGGTAAGACATTGCAGGAGATGAAGACTCTTGCGAGAGACAGTGACAAATGAAGATCCTGGATTGAATTAACTGAACACTGAGAGGCACAAAGAGGAATTTAATGAAGAAGAAGAAGAATATTAATCATGTATATCTGAAATGATATTGTACCAAACAACTCGTGTGAAATTTTTAAACATATTTAGTCATTTTTTTTAAAGAAAGCCATATTATATCTTAGCGATATTATACTCACTATCGTTGTTGCTTGTACTGTGTGTCACAACAGGAATATTGTGCTTTGCCATTTGCCTATTATCTGATCTACTCTGAATTTTTAATGATTTCTGCGTATCCAAGGCATCTTTCGAGACATCCTCTTCTTCCTCGTCATCTTCTGTTGAAACTGACTTCGAATAAGTTTTTATCTTATCAACACGCGGTCGATCGGTCACCGAGTTAGTAAACACTTTCTTTTCATTTTCTTTTTCCATCATCAAAAACAATGCTGGGTCGACTTTTTTAGCACCCAAATGCAATCTCTGTTTCCTCTTTTGTAATTTGGGAGATATCGATTTCAGATTGGACTTTGATACAGTGGAATTTTCACTAGTATTTAAATAGCAAGAACTCGGCAAAGATTGATGAAGATTCATGGTTGCATTCATTTCTACACACAGGTTATAGATTACTTCGCATTACGTTAAATAATATATTTAATAAAAACAACATAACCTATACTGTACAGCGTAAAGTCATCTAATTAAAAATCTGACATCTTGGCCATAAAAAAACTGTTTTTCCATCTTCTTGTCCGTTTCAAAGAGTTTTCGTACAAAAGATTTAGTAGGTCATTGTTGTGGATATATATTCTTAAATGTTAACAACTGTTTAAAAATGTATAGGGAGCTAGGATTTGACATAGAAGCTAGAAACACATGTTTGCTAACATTCAGGTTAATAATAAGTAGGTTGAATAATTAATTGCGACATTTAGTTAACTATTTTCAATGATTAATCTTTAAAATTTATCAGAAAAGAAAATCGTCTTTAAAATTTTGATTCATATCTTTCAATGTACGCAGATCCAAATGAAATTTTAAAAAACTCCTTTGTCTGTTGTCCACGGCTTTTCAACGGGACTACTACCTACCAAACAATTATATTATTTTTTTTTTGTATATTTTATTTGTATTTTTTGTATAGTTTTAATCCAGTGCACTAAATTTGCGTCATAAACAAAAAATGTGTTTATCTATAGCTTATAGTGCCACCACTTATACAATTTAGATAAAATCTGCCTAAAATCCTTAACGCAATTTAAATAAAAAATCAAACACTTTTGCAGATAACTCAAATAATAATTAGAGATAAAAATCAGGACTTGAATAGTTAAGTTTTTATTTTTAAACATTTTCGATAAGATTGGTATTTTGTTTGATTGTTTTTTTTTTTTTTGTTTTTTTTTTGTGTGTGTGTGTCATTTCATAACTAGAACTTTTCCCATGGAAATTTTCAATTAAATGTTTTACAGAACTTAGAAAACCTTTACTTAAAAGTTCTGTTAAAGCAATTTATTTCGAAAAAAAAATAAGCTTGCGCGCAATAAATGAAAAACATGTTTTTCCATAGACTGTCGCCCGAAAACGGCTCTAACGATTTTGATGAAACTTTCCTATAAAGTTCTAATGATTGTTCTTTCAATTTTCGTATATGAATTAAATTCCCGAGAAAATTCAGGGAAAAAAGTTATAAGGAAAAGAAAAATGTTGTGGGGCCTAACTCCCTAAGTATATATTATACGGTAAAATTTATAATAAAACTTTTGAAAGGTAATTAAATTACAACAAAAGAAAAGCAAAAACAACCGCAATCGAACCAGTATTAGGAATGATATAGCTTATTCTATTTTTTACACATGTTTTAACTTATTACTTTCCTACCTGTACTAGGTAAGGAAAGTGTCGCAATCGGGTCAAATTTCCTTTCAAAATTTCAAATTCAAAGAACAACTCTGGTATCAGAAAGAGATGAATGAGAGAAAAAAGATTACTTAATCTGTTGCCCGCATCACACAAGCTTAACTATTTCCTCTACTTTTAACAGAAATTATTGTTATACAAAATCAAGCTATGACAAAAAGTTTTTGATCAGGAATATTAGAGGATATTGAAATTTTTACACTGATCTACCTTAGCCGGTTTACATTGCTTTAGTTTATCAAATAAATCGTACTCAAATCTATTCTTTGATAAATTTTCAGAAAAATAAATCTAATACAATTTTTTTTTTGTTTCTTGATGGACATATGTAATGATACAAAAAAAAATTCTGAAATAGGTAGGAAAGTCGTGTGAGTGGTTTTTTTCGATGACTGGTAAGACCGAGGAACATTAATCTTGCTCATACATTATTTTTAGAATTTTTTTTTTATAAAAGATGGCCTCACGATCCTGTTATGTAGACATATTATTAGAGTCCTAGCAGTGGGTAGTTTCTCAACAAGCGGTTTTATGGGATTATATTGCTGTGCACACAAGAGAAACTAAATTCGTACTTTAATATCCCCATCTGACAGTGTGTATAGCGTGTATCCATTCCTGAAAACTATTCGATCAATTTTATTGGATTCAAAGAAAAGTATATATTTTATATATATGTATGAGGGATTTTTAGCCTCACTGGCACTATAAAAGACCCTTTCAGCCCGTGTATATTTTTATTTTCTTATCTATTTGAAATATTTAGATTTTACATTCCAAACTTTGTACTTATAGTATTTTGCTGAATTAATTCCGTTTTTTCTCAAATATATTAATACTACTTAGTTAACTATTTACTTAGAAGTATTTTAATAATAATTAATAATTACTTTTACTATCAATTAGGCTAATAATGAATATTATAAGTGTTAAATTATTATAAGGTTTGTTTAAAAAATTCACTAAGTGCAATTTTGATATTGGTTGACATCTAAAAATGTTTTTTTGTTATTTCGACTTTGTTGTTTGATACAAAAACACCGTAAGTGCATGGAAATGATATAAATTCTTTTATATATCAAGTATAGTTATAACAAATGCACAGTTTTCTGATTTCAATAACAATAAGAGTAAATTCTTGAATGTTCTTAATTTATTAAGATAATGAAATGTCAATTTATTACTTCAATTGCAATTACAATTGAATTACAATTGCAAAAGTTAAATTGGCTGGAGAAGAAAGTTTAGACTCGAACATATCTTTCTATTGACGTTTTCCACATCTAGATGGAAAACTCCTTTATGCTTGCATACATTTTAATTAGCCAGAAATTGCTTAAGAATCTTCAAGAATTTTTTTTTCTGTCAATTATCCAAGGAAAAATTGTATTTGGACACTGCCTTGGTGTGAACCCACCACTAGAATCCACTAGAACCACTAGAAGTTTTTGGAGTACGCCTCTTCCTTTCATCATCTCTCAATGATTATTCAATATGCTGTTTTCATGCAATTCTGTTGCAATATTTGTACACAACTAAGTGAATGTGCAAATCCAATTACTTTCTTCGAATCAAACTATTCACGGCGTATAAACATACGATTATTAATAAGAGAGCAGAAGATGGTTTGGGTGTTCAACCAAAAGAATGAAAAAATAAATAAATTATATTTATTTTTTCCGAAGAAATACTGACTACGTATAAGAGAATTAGAATTATATAACAGCATAGATCATCCTATCTTTGGATCATCTCACTCAAGTAGTCAGTATGTTCTGATAGATTTTACAGTATTTTAATTCTTCTATTTACATTTATTACTTTCTTTATATAACTGCATATTCCTTTTTCCTATTTTACATTTTATTCTATGATTATCTCACTTCCTTTTAGCATACAAATATATCGTATTTTAGCAACATTTATTTTATATCAACACTTACGTCTTTCATCTCATATATTCCATTACATTTTGTTGTTAATTAATTTTTCATTTCTGATCTTATTTATTATTCTTAAATGGTGTTTTTTGTCACAACGATATAACTATGTCAATTCTTCATTAAATCCAATGATTGAGCCCTCATTTTTAAGATTTTCTTCACCTTCAGGTGGGAAAAATAGTTAAATCCCTCCGAAACTTAAATGGGGAAAGTTATGAAGGAAAAGAAACGTTATTTGCGAATAACTAAAAAATTATATTATGCATTTTTCGTAATTGTACCGATGATAGAATGATTATTAAATTATATGAAAATCTATTAGAAATTTTTGCATACTTGAAAGACTCTCAAATACGATTTTTTATAGAAATCGAAAAATTAAAAATTCACTAAATTTGAGCCCTTTGATTTTTTTTCGAAAGTCACAAAAAAATGTTATAAGAAAAAAAATATATATACATGAATTTGGCTATCTATAAGAAATTTGGATGGAATTTAGGATCGCAAAAACTACATGAAGAGACATCCACATAATCTTCGTAAACAAACCTCATTTAAAAGATTTTCTTCACTTTCAGGTGGGAAAAATAGTCACATCCCTCCGAAATTTAAGGGAAAAAAGTTATCAAAGAAAGGCAACTTTATTTGCGAATAACTACGCACATTTAATTATGTATTTTTTTATTAAATATAATTACGCATTTTTTCTCGATTTTATCCATAGTAATTAGAAAGATTACTAAATTATAGGTACCTACAAAATAAAAATAAAATCGTAAAAATGGGCCAATTATTAACAAAGATACAGTCCATTAATTTTGGTATACTTAATAATTTCTTTTACTTGTAACCAATTTTCATACATAATATGAGAACAATGAATTCCTCCCTCACATAATACATAGGATCTACTATTTCCATATGGTTTTGCTATTCCTTCACAAAATAAAATTTTCAGCGAATTATTCGCAAGGGCCAACTAGTTTTACCTTATTTCATTCATTACATTTATTTAATTAGTTCCCAATTTTTAAGTCGTTTTTATTTATTTTATAGTTTTCTGTTACTGTTAATATTTTATTCATAATTTCCTAACTTTGCTTCCGCTACTTTCTATCACTTTTATTGTTATTTTATATTTCCTTTAAGTTTATTCCACCTTCTTTGCTTTATTCAGTTTATTCTACCTACATTTTTTAAACTATACCTTTCATCTACATATTATTATTTTCATATTAATGTTAATAGTGTCTCATAGCCATTGTTATCCGGTGTTTCTTAGTCCTGATGAAGGCCTGAAGTTTGGGCCGAAACGTCGGCAAAAATAAAAACAAATATAATTTGTTTATTTTTACATTTTTTTCTTTTTTTTTTTACTGAACACCCTAATCATTAGCTCTTCAATTATTCGCAAACCACCAATCCACGATTATTAATAAGATTTATAGACAAATAAATCTGGACAAATGCCACTATAAATTAGACCGTCAGTTTGAATAAAGATAATGGAAATAATTGACTTCTTTGAATTCAAAGTCCGTGAAATTCAAAATACATTTACCTTATTTCTTCTATTGATTGAATCCGATTAAGTATTTACTATCTATATATAAAACTTTGGTCAAATTTTTAGTCTTCTGATCTCTTGCCAAATATTGGTTTCCTTGAAGCACAAGTAGAAAGTGTTAATTATCTTATCAGAACTTTGTTTCCAGACAAGCTTGATAATTAAGTTGTCAATTCGACAAAGTGAGACGGAAAATGGCTGTCAAAACAAGAAATCCGTTAAAAAACAAAGATCACCAGAGTTGGGTTGGCATTAATCAATATGTAGATCTTTTGTCTTATAATTTGTTGTGTAACGAAATATTGCGTCCAACCTTGGGTTTAGTTTAACTCAAATTTGATAAAACATCTCAATTCATTCAAGAATTATTTTTAATTATGCTAACACCGGTCTAGATACCTCTGCAAGGGATTTTTCAGGAAAGCTGCAGATTTGTAAAATAATTTTTTAAAAGGGATTGACATTAATAAACCATTTTTTTACAGATCGGCTTCAATAGTAACCGTTAAAAGTCCTCTTGAGTTTGGAGCACCATATCCGACCCGCACCACGGCCGAATGTATTGGGTTGGCAAATAAGTCATTTCGTT